AAAAAAAAAAAAAAAATATATATATATATATATATATATATATATATATATATAAATATAAATTTAATGAAAGCCTACATAATCTTGTCGAATAAATAGTTTTTGTAATATGTAGATAATTTTAAAAAATATATATGACTGTTTCCAGTCTCATTTTGTGCTTGAAAGAATTATTACAATATTACAAATTATAAATCATTATAAATATCAGCTAAACTGTGAAAATATCCCATAATAAGTTTGTGTTAAATATGCATATTATTCAATCATGGATCGATTCGGTCTGTATTTAGTCTCTTTAGATAATATGCTTGAAGTGTTGTCTTGAAGTGATGTATTCATATTGGTAACAGTTCAGTATCGTTGAGCATCGGAGTTGCAGAAGTAATATTCAGAGCTCAATAAGCAAACACTGTAAGATTATTTAGTGTACATTCCTCTCACTCTCTCTCTCTCTCTCCCTCTCTCTCTCTCTCTCGCTCTCTCTCTCTCCCTCTCTCTCTCTCTCTCTCTCTCTCTTTAGCTTAAAATCCCCCTTTACAAGCAGCTTCTTTGGAATATTTCGCCATGCACGTTCTGCCGCTCTCTTAACTTAAGTCATCAGCGCACTTATACGACAGGCATTAGCTAATCGGTAAACTGCATTAGCACCTAATTGCTGCGCAGCTGCTCGCTTTGGTGCTGTCAGAGTAAACGCGACGGGGCAGTTGTTCAAGCTGATATAGGCAGTTCACCAAAAAGTGCAGCCAAACATGCCCATTTTCCACTCGGGCACTCCCTCCCCTGCCCCGCTCTGCTCCATCCTGCCGCCAGCCACAACAACATGCCGCAAACAATGAAGCTTAGCGCCCAGTTACAAGCTGCAAGTCAAGCAGCTGCCGGGCAAAACAGCAGCTGTTACCACAACTCTCTCACACACACACACATTGTTTATGTGAGCGCGTGCAAAACTCCAACTGCAGCCCATCGAACTCAGTTGCAGGCCAGGGACAAATGTGGCGACGCCTACGTTGAGAAAAATATGCGAAAATTTGCCGAAGCAAACGCGGACTTCCCTTGTCCCATGTCCGGGGCAAAGTTTTTCCCGACTGGCACATGGCCAGCCCATGTGTGTGTGAGTGTGTATGTGTGTGTGTGTGGCTGTGCGTGTTGGGCTGACAATAATCCAAAAGTTTTACAAGCAAAACGAGCGACCATTACATGGGCGGACGGGCAGAAACAGAAACCACTTGCAAGCAATTTTCATCAGCGAATTTTCCTCCTCTTCATTTTGCTTCTATACATACATACATACATATATATATACATAGATATATTTTTTTTTTTGCCATTTTACCAGGCGTAGCCACAGCTGCTGCTGACAGGCAGGACGAGCATTTTGCTTAGTGTCTGACCGCAACTCGCTGCAAATCCTCCACACACTGCAGTCTGCAGAGAAATCTCTGGGCAAACGCATTTAGCATTTGGCTGCAGTGCGGCCCATGTCCACGTCCAGCTCGGCATCCGGGGGCTACAACTTCATTGTCTCCGTCAGGCAAAAGGTAAACGATTCGAGGCCAGCTCGATAAGAAACCAATGCCAGTGCAACCGCAGCCAGCATGCATAGCACTCCCCGGAGCTAAGTCCATTTAGCAGTACTTACCATAAAGCTCAACCAGCTCTGGGCACTGAGCACTACATAGACTGAGAGTCGGCTGCGGGCTGACCTGTGGCCTAAGCGCTGGATAGAACTGCTTACGAGCCTGACTGAGAACAGAAGCAAAAAATAAAGCAAACAAATAGAGAGGAGTAGTCGACCTAGTCTCTACCTTGACCATGAGTTGAGATCGGAATTAAATAGCTGAAGAGCTAGTCACATTCATCTTGACCCACTGTGCTTATGCATATTTTAATTATATAAAAACATTAATAAACACATTTAAAGAAATTATAAAAATAGGTCAAGGCTATAGATCATAATTAGGAATTAATTGAGCAAAGATATAAAACTTTTTACTAAAACTTAAATGTCCAATTCGTATGAATCTAAGGTAAAGCCAACACATTTTAGCAATTTCAAGCATTATAGACTATATTATTCAAATGATATTCAGAGTCATGTCAATCGGCTTCAGGGCTGTTCTATGGAAACAAGGATTTGTCATCCCATATACCCATTTACATTTACAAATGAAAAGAAACAGAAAGAGAATTCTTGAAAGAGAATGCGAAGAAAAAATATGGTTAGAAGTGAAAAATAGCAGTTTACACTTTACACTTGCCACAATGCAGATGTAAATGGGCACGCCCACAGCTCACGCCCACTGGTCAGACGCTTCGGTTACTTTCGCCAGCTGTTAATAAATTTAAAGTTTTGCTTTTACTTTGCTTGGCAAAAAGGAAAACCGGAGCAGAGCGAAATAAAAATTGAATAGACAACTGTGCCAGCAGACGATTCACACACACAGCTGTGTAGGTGTGTGTGTGTGTGTGTGCGTGTGTGTGTGTGTGTAGGAAAGTTTAAACTTTCTTTAAACGCTGCATGAATTGTTTGTCTTGTTTTTTACTATCTCTCTCTCTCTCTCTCTCTCTCTCTCTCTCTCTCTCTCTCTCTCTCTGCGTGTTGTTGTCCAGCTTTCCATTTGCGACGCTAAAAAAACGTTTTACAGTCTGTGCACAAAGTATACGTCCGTGTCTGTGTGTGTTTGCGCTTTTGGCAGGACATTTATTAGCTTTGTTTTGATGTTTTTGCTTATGCAATCTCCAAGCTACATATATCGATAGATGCATTTACCTACAGCTCGACTGAGCGTGGCAAGTAGATGACAGCAAAGCTCATATTTCCCAGACCGACATTTATTGCAGTGAAGCATTTATGCAATTTTCGGAAGCTTCTACTGCTACTGATTGATTTAATAGTTACATTTTGAAGTGAATTGACAATAAAATTCGTTTATTCATTTTCCGTTTATGCATTTTGTTTATTTTATATATTTTATTTTGTCAACATGTCATTTGTAATTGCTTTCTACGTAATATTAACTTGGGGCTTTCAATGGGATTTCACTTGAAACAGGTGCCATATACAACATTTGCCAGAGAGGTGCTAAGAGGGCTAAGAGGCTTTAGTACTTAAGCTGTCAATCTACAGAAACTGTTGGGTAACTATTGGCATTTCCAGGGTATTTAGTACGCTATCAAAAGGCGCTTAAAAACGTTACGAAATTCTACATTTCATTGTTTAGCAAGAGCTGGCCGAGCTGCGTTGAGAAAAGGCACTTGTCAGGTGTTTTGTTTATTGGATTTGAGGGGCAATGCACTAAAGTTAAGTTAACCATATAAACTAGTTGATATCTTGTGAGAGTTCGCAGCAGCTGTTCCTCTTGTGAATGCTTAGCTTGTGCGATGTGTGATGTCTTCGATTTGTGCCTTTAGGTTTTTAGAAGCTGGGCCTGAAGCCGTTGCGCTGCGATAGCACTGAATCGGGACTCTTGAGCTCCATGGCCAGCTTGTAGCCCAGCTCGGGCCGACGATCCCGACCCTCGGCCATTGCCTTGACCTGTGCATGAGCAAAAGTTGATGCAGTTAATCCCATTTTTAGCTGCTCTGTCGCTTCACTCACCTCGTTGCTGTGCACAATGACGCCATCGCTCTTAATCACCTTCTCCTTGGTGTGCTCGATGTCATGGAAGTCGGTGCCGCGGCAGCAGTCGTCTATCAAGACGGTGCGATAGCCAGCGGACAGTGCATCCACAGCCGTTGCGCCCACGCACACATCGTAGGCCAGGCCGCACACGTAGATGTCCGTGGCGCCCTTCATCTTGAGCTGGGCATTCAGCGTGGTGTCCGACAGCTTCTTGTTGTCCCAGAACACCGAGTAGGAGTCCACCTCCGGATTGGTGCCCTTGTACACCTTGATGCCATGATCGACCACCTTCAGATCCTTGTGCAGCTCTGCGCCCCACGAGTCCTGCACACAGTGACGCGGCCACAGGCGCTGCTTCATCGGCGGCGGCCCGGCAAAGATGACCGTATCAAAGACCTTCGCCGAATCGGCATCCAACTGCGAGCATATATGCATTAAATATTGTATATATACATATATATTTATCAGCTGGTATTGCAAATTTTATAATAATAATTTTATAATAATAATCATTAAAGTGAAGCACAGCATAAATATTTTGTGTAAGCAATTAGAATGGGAACTTAATCATTGCAACAATCTTAGTGCATATTAATATAATGAAATTAGCTAATTAGGAATTGAGGGTTAGACTTAATTTACTGCCGTCCATATACAGTTTAATCCGGTTTAAACGATGCTCAAGGGGCTATACTATACTATAACCATATATGTTTGCTCATAAAAGTTTGTCATCACAATAAGCGTACGGTGTAATTGGAGTCGTTATATCCGGATTCTACTTTCGGCGTATTATCTACTCAACCCACATTTTTCAATTCATAATAATATTGTATAAAATTTTCTATTCGTTCAAAACCTCACAATTGTTAGTTTATTTAATTTTTATTATTATTATTTTTTTTTACAGCAATTTTTCATGCTGGCTGTAAAGTTTTCTTTTAATTGAAATGCCTTTGCAATAAATATTTTTGTCATGCTAAGAGAAAATGTATTTAATTCACAAGAAGTTAAAAATATTCTTAAAAATTTTAGCTTATTTCCAATACTGATTAACGAAATATTATTATTTCGATAGTATTTTTTAAAGACAAAATAAAAAATCTATTAAATCATACTTGATTATATATAATTATATTCTAATCTATTTTATAATCTATTCAAATTCCCACCCCTTTAACCTCTTTCATAATCTGAAATATAATATTTAATTATATTTAACTTGTTGAGCCCAAACCCTGTCTTTGTCCTATGAAAACGCTTTTAGGTCTAACAAGCCCTACGTCTTTGACTAACTGATGGTAATTCAAGTTTCAATTTCAATATGTAACGTTCATTTGTTTAACATTAATATGCAAACTGTCATTAACTTGGCAACAATTCAAATATACATATATGTATGGCTCTCACTCACCGCCGACGATTCGTCCATGGGTCGCATTTTGACATTATCAATAAATGAAACATGATCGCTGGGATGCCAGTCTAGGGAGTAGAAGACCGCATCGAAGTCCACCGTGTCCAGCAGCTTGTTGATGGGCTCCAGTATCTGCAAGGAGAGCGGTCATTGGATAAGCTCGCAAGATATACATAAGAGAAGGCGGGGAGGAAGCGCGAGCGAGCGAGCGGTAGATGGAGCGGCCTGTCAGCTGAGCAGTCCATAAAGCGACGACGGAAGTGTGTGTTATTAATTTTGACAAATTTTCATGTTCGAGCGGGGGCAGTAAGTGAAGTGCCGGCCAACACAAGTGCACCACCGAGGCGGACGTACTGCGGTGGGCGGGTGGCCTCGGCTCAGCCAATTGCGGCAGATGGCAGCCAAGAGCTGATGTCGATGCTGCTGCCGGCCGATGCGGCACTTGGTTGGCTTTGCCGCTGACGATGGCATCCGGCGTATGTCGCAGCGCGGATGCGACTTAAGTAAAGCATATCCGCTTCCGCCTATGCACACGCACACAGCCACGGCTACAGCTACAGCTACAGCTATATATAGAGCAACAGTATCATTCGATGGTGGCTGACATGCAGAGTACCGAGCGTCAGGCTCTCTCTCTGTCTCTCTCTCTTTCTCTCTCTCACTTGCCGTCCCTCTCTCGTTGGCGGCAATGACTTTGGCTCATCCTGAGCTTCGCTTGGCTGCCTCCATTTTCATTTCTTGTTACGTTTTATGTCTTTCCGTCGCCGCGTACCTGCCAGCCCCGCACCACCTTGCCGGTGCCCGTCCCGCCTGCGTTTTATCAGCTGAGCTGCTGCCCTATCTGTGGCCACAGCCCACGACTCACAACTGCCAGCTTCAATATTATCTTCGCCTTGGCTTCGTTATATTTTCTTTCTTTTCTCTCTTCACCAACTCCAGGTCTCACCTCGTGTCCTTGCTGCTGTGCACTGCAATTACTTATATCCAAGGAACCACTTATAAAATCATTTTGTACATCAACAATGAGAAACGCGTTCACCGGTCGCACAATCTGCCAAGAGAGTCAAAAAGAGAACGAGATAAGTTATATGGAATTAGAGCGAGCACAACACACGCGAATTTCTGTATTGACATAATTAACGAATGCGAAATACCGTTACTTACTAGATTTACTGAGGTGTCTAGAGAAAAACTTGTTATAAGAGAAATCTTGACTTGAATATATTTTTAAAAATATTTATTTATATTTAGCAAGTCAGTCAATGCAAAGACACGACTCTTAGGACTTGGAAAAATTGATAACGATATATGTGATATGATAATACTCGAATTGGTAATGGGTAATTAATAACTCAGCAATAAATTGCCTGAAAAGAAATGCTGTGGGTCTGCTTCCACTCAATTCACTCAATATTCAAGCAACCGCCTGTTAAATTCCATGACTATTTACCAATACCCCAATCGGATAGAGTATTAAGATGGCAACATGAACAGCCACGAAAAATTGTAAGAAAATTGTATGGGCAAAGTAAGTGAAGCAGACACCACAAAAGACGTCGGGCCAAAGTACATAAGCACAAACATGAAAAGCTACAAAGAAATTTGTATACACGTGCATTAGTGGGTGTAGTCTGTGGGAGTGTGTGTGTGTGTGTGTATGCTCGTGTGTGCGCTGATGAGTTTCTTCATTTTATTCATTTTTTTTCACTGCTGCTGCTGCTCCTCCTTTTTTGTCGCCGCCCATTATAAATGCGTTTTAAATGAAGTAAAAGCCAGTCAAAAAAAAAAAAAAAAAGTAGCTTTCGAAAAAACGCTCGCATGAGAGCAAAGAGCTCGTTAGGTCTGCCATTGCTATCTTGACTGTCAGCCCAGCAGCTGTATAGAGTATAGAGTACAGGAGCTGCGCAGAGCAAAGCATCATCAGTAGCTGCAGCAGCAGGAGCGGGAGCTGCTGCACGATGTTCGTCGTCTAAGCTGATTATGTTCGAGCATATTTAAAATTAGTGAAGCGCTTTTAATTTGTTATTTATGTGCACGCTGATTATGAATGATTATGATCTATGCGCAAACACACACACACAGAGAGAGAGAGAGAGAGAGAGAGAGAGAGAGAGAGAGAGAGAGACAGACACACACACTTACGCATACGCAATCGAAGCGAGTGCTGAAAATGGGACAGCAATAGAGACTGGGAGGACACTAAGGAGCAACAGCAGGAGCAGCAGGAACCGGAGCAGTGGCACATTAGCGTCAGCACGTTGCAAGCGCCATGCAAATGAGAGACGATTGCGTGACACGTGACTCACGATTAAGGCTGACGTTTTTAATGCTAACACAAATTCGTGCTAATATTATTTATTATTATTGGCATTATTATTCATTCAATATAAATATTATATTATATTCATTCATTCATTCCCTTATCTATGCAGATATTTCTTTTCTCGTATATGTCTTCATATAATATTTTATATTTATATTTATTTACATTTTCTCTATTAATTTCAACTTAAAATTTGATTTCTTGATTTATTCCAAATATAATTCTTGAATAAATCTTAGGGAGAGTTGTCCACAGTTTTAGTTACTCGCAATTGATTTGTCTTGGAGAATGTTTTATTGAATGCTAAATGCTCATCTCAGCTTGGCCATCTCTAGATATCTGTTATTTACCGCTTGTTGTTGCCAGCTTTGATTTGTGTTGCTGCTGCAACTGTTGGCACAGCGTTTAAAATATGTCATCCAGCTAAATGCTTTAAAGCGGCCAACGTGAGTTGCAGCCGCAGCCGTAGCCGTAGACGTAACCGTAGTCGTAGCCATAGATGTAGCCGCAGCCGCAATAGCAGCAGCAGCAGCAGCAGCAGGTGGCACGCAAATGAAGCTGTGTGACTTAATAGGAGCAGAAGGAAGGAGTGAGCGAGAGAGACTGAGTGAGAGAGAGAGAGAGAGGGGGCCTCCACGCTGAAAGGTTAGCTTGCTGCTGCTGCTGCTGGTGCGGGGCAGACAGCGCTTAAGCAGTTGATGATTTATCGCCTGTTGCCAGTGGCTGTGGCCCTGCCAGTGGTTGGCATTAGTGCCTCTGCAAACATGGCGGCGGTGCAGCGGTGCAACGATGCAGCGGTGCTCGGGAGCCGCATAGTTGCGGAAGTGATTTACATTTCGCATGTCGGGCATGCGACGTATTTTGAGCATAGTTTTCGGTTAGCATACTTAGAGATAATGGCCGGATAAAGGTAGTTAATGTATCAATTTGCTGCCACATCTCTCTCCCTCTCTCTCTCTCTCTCACTCTTACTCTCTTTCTCTCTATGTGTGCGTGTGTGGGTGAGCTATTCCTGGAACGAACATACATCACGCTGGGAATTAAATGTGCTCTAACTGGCTTAGCAGCCCATAAGCGGATCAAAATCGAGCTGCTTCGCAAGGTATTAAATGGCTTAAAATAGAAATGTCAACGTAATATACGCCAATCATATTGATTTCGTTTGGGTATCCATGGAGCTTAATAACAAATTATTTGGCTATCATTTTGTAATTGTGTTTTATAAATTGTATTACAACTAGTTCTAATATGTAAAATTTAAATTGCAATAATAATATTAGTGGAAAGGGAATATTACAATATATTAAATTTATACAATTTATTTTTTTAATTTATTCAAATATTTCTTATCTGCATTTCACATTTCTCATTCAATTTCATCAATTAATTGTACATAGTGGATCAACCTGTCAGAGTTTCCACAGCTGACCCCAAAATTGAGCGTCCATCAATTTTGGTTCACAATTTGAGCATGAATTTCACTCGCTCACCTCAACTGAGGCTGTCGCCACAAGAAATCAGAGAAGCAGCATCCAATTATGAACCATTTGACGCAGCTGTTGCTGTTGCTGACGAGCCTCAATCCAGCAGCAGCCGTCCCCCACCCTCGCCCACTCGCCCACGCCCTCGCTCTTGGAATGCCAAAGTAAGTTGGCAAATTAACACGCACCTCATCCCGCTCCTTGGCGCTGGCTAATGCAAACAACTGACCCTTGGCCCGAGCACTTATTGTTATGGCAGCCCACCTGCCACCCTCCCCCACCCTAGCTCCCAGGCGGCCCCTTCCCGCCTGTTGCTACAGTTTAATTTAAAGTTGAAACTATGAATGTTTGATTAAAGTGCCAAGAAACGCTCAGAGCAGGAGTGGAACAACCAGGGACAACCAGGGACCAGGGAGTAGGGCCCAGGGCAGGCTGAAATCCTGTTCATTCATTTGGCTGGCAAATATGTTACGGCTAAATTAATTATTGAGCATTGGAGTGCGGTACCCACAGACATGTTGTGGATGTGACACCCCACACAATTGGATGCCTTTGCCGTGTGCCTGGGTATTGTGGTCTATCTCTCTCTGTGTGTGTGTGTGTGCGGCCAAGACAAGGCACCTTTTGGTAACCACAGCAAATCTTAAATTCAAATTACACTTCAGCCCGATTCTGTCAGAGTTGGCAACAAAAGAAACAAGTTATAGAAATAACTTTGCCACACCTAGCGCTCATTCTCTCTCTCTCTCTATCTCTCTCTGTCTCTGCCGCTGTCAATCTCTCTCACTCTATTGCTCCCTCTCTCGCTTTAGCTGACATGTGTGGCTGGCGTAAGTTTCAGTCTTTTGGCTGCTGCCATGCAACATTTCGAGTCAATTTCAGTGCTGAATAAATTTCAAAATCCGTAAAACCCAAAGAGCTGAGCTCTTTTTGCCTTTAGTTGAGAACTGCTGCCGCTGCTGCTCCTCACGAGCCGCAGACAAAACTGTCAAAGTGTATGTGTGGGTGTGTGTGCGTTTGTGTCTGTGTGTGCCAAAAAAGTTGCCAGGCTAAACGAATAAGTACGGCAAATGGTGACGTCGACAGACATCCAGGACGAGGCGAAGGCGCACGAATCGAATGAAATTCAACGTGATATTGAAGTATGTGCCAAAAGGGAAACGTGCCCACCCGCACTCACATACCCAGACATACCCTTACACACACACACACACACACACACACACACACACACACACACACTCACTCACACATACAGATGTATGGGTTTGAGGCAGGTGCTAAAGCAATTTCCGTTTTGAAATTGTTGCATAAGTTGGCGGCTCTGGCAGTTCGGGGCTGGGCCTGCCATTTGGCACATACTTCACTCGCGCGCTTTCGCCCTTTCTATATATAATGTATATATAACTTTCTTTTTTTTTTTTTTCTTTTTTGGCTACTCCTCAACATAGGCTAGACAGCACCCGAAACATTGTCGCTGACAGTTTGTGGGTTTTCGCTCTGTGTCTGTGTGTGCGTGTGTCTGTGTGTGTGTGTGTGCGTGTTGCAGGCAACAAAATTACATTATACAATTTATGCGGCTGACTGGGACCAGAAATTGTTTGGCCAACTCCCTGACGAGCATCTAGCGCAAACTAACTATAAATAAGCTAGACGCTTCAACGGGAAAAACGTCTGCAAAACTTTGACACATTTGCAGGCATCAGAAAAAAATAAAATAAAATAATAATAATAAATAAATAAATAAACAAATAAATGCTGATGTGCCAATAAGCGGCTTAAGAGAGTAAAAGTTTTGCACAAATTATTCCAATAATCTGCGAGACTTGCAAAAAACATTTTCATTTTTAGTGTTTTAGTCTCAACCAAAGGATTTCGATATCAGATAATATTTGTAAATCGAAAATATATTAATATGGCGTGTGTGTATGCCTTCAATAAACAAAACAATTTAAGTAGAAAAGTCTTTAATTATTTGATAAAGAATGTTATATAGTAATCTCAATAGTATTAGGCTTAAAAATTAATTTTATCTACCAATAATTTATTTTTATATATTGCTTTTACTTCTTTCATACATCTTCGATTTTTATATTTTATTTATTTATTTTGAAGTTTTATAAGTAGGAGAAATATTTATATATTTAACTTTTATATTTTTATTTACAATTCGGGAATTTAATTATTTATTATTTATTTTATTCATTTATTATTTACTGCATTTAACTGCATTAGAGCACAAATTCA